TGGCTCAAGCCTGTAGTCCCAGCGCTTTGGGAGGCCAAGGCGGGTGGATCACAAGGTCAAGAGATCGAGACCATCCTGGTCAACATGGTGAAACCCCGTCTCTACTAAAAATACAAAAAATTAGCTGGGCATGGTGGTGCGTGCCTGTAATCCCAGCTACTCAGGAGGCTGAGGCAGGAGAATTGCCTGAACCCAGGAGGCGGAGGTTGCGGTGAGCCGAGATCGCGCCATTGCACTCCAGCCTGGGCAACAAGAGCGAAACTCCGTCTTAAAAAAAAAAAAAAAAAATGCTCTTACAACTTTCTTTACCCCCCTAGTTTGCCTATCTGGGCCGCCTGGCTCATGAGGTTGGCTGGAAGTACCAGGCAGTGACAGCCACCCTGGAGGAGAAGAGGAAGGAGAAAGCCAAGATCCACTACCGGAAGAAGAAACAGCTCATGGTGAGGGCAGGGGCCGGCGCTGAGAGGGTATCTCGCACCCGGGTGGGTCTGGCAGATGCTATCTTGCCCACAGAGGACTCTTAACTGGCAAAGGGGCAGCCAGAGTTGGGGTGGGATGGAGTCCATGTAATGAGGGCGATCCAAGCCCTCCTGACCACCACCATCTGTGCATATTCTTGGCAGAGGCTACGGAAACAAGCCGAGAAGAACGTGGAGAAGAAAATTGACAAATACACAGAGGTCCTCAAGACCCATGGACTCCTGGTCTGAGCCCAATAAAGACTCTTAATTCCTCATGCTTGGCCTGGCCTGCCTTCCTCCATCATTGCCCTGGAATGTGCGGGACCCAGGGGCAGCAGCAGTCCGGGTGCTACAGGCAACCTGGGACATAGGAAGCTCGGAGCAAGGAAAAGGCTAGTCACTGCTTGCCGAGGTTACTTGAAAACACTCAGAATTGTGCAGGTATCATTTATAATAGGAAGAGCAACCAGTTACTATTAGCAGAAGGTTCTGGAAGACTAATTGCAGGGGCCTTAGTTGTGAGTGGGGCGTCTTAACTTTCACCTGGTCATGCACTATACTCTGCAGCTGTTAGAATGTGCACGTGCTTGGGAACAGCATGCGCTCGCTGTTGTACAAAGGGTATTTATAGAAGCATAGACTGGGAAGATGGGCAACTCGGGGGTTACAAGCAATGCCCATGCTCCTCACCTGTGTTTTGTGATCACAGTCAAATAAATTACTTTTAAAGAAATCCTGCGTCTTTGCACTGTGTCTGCTGTGGAGGCAGGTGGTAAAAGAGGGGATGAGGAGCTTAAACTAGAAAATTGGCTAATGCACAGAAAAGTATTAGTAACTTGCCCTAAATTCACTTATCCTTTATAGGCAGCACTTACAAACCAAAGACATTTCAAAACAATGGTGGTGGGCAGTGCCTGGTGCTTCCCAGTTAATGGAAGCCTGCCTCATTCTAATTCAGCTGCAAAGTATGGACCCATGCCCCCACTGCCAGGCTGCTATGTAGTCCAGGCTGTCTCTAGAGACAGGCACTTTGCAAATGATAAGCACTGGGTTAACGGACATAATACTAGGCCTTACCTGCACTAAAAGACCTGTACCTTAGGTCTGCTAGTTTGAATGCCTGAAAGGGCATTGCTTGTGAAGCATTTACTAGGTAACAATTGCATAAAATATCCCAGGTCAAAGTTTGCTTGGGTGGGAAGGCCCCTGTTAACCATTTTGCTGATGACGTCTCAGGGCCATACATGTCATGCCCACGGTTCCATAGTAAACATGGCCTAAACACAAGACAAGGTAAAAGTGCAGGTAAGTAACGGAAGCTAGATTCATACCATCCTCGGGATTGGATTCCATAATTAGGGAGTAATCATTTGGTAGTTGTATGCTTATATGCCCAACCTTACCCCAGAGAAAGACGAGTGGACAGTATGTGTTGTGTTGATGCACCAGATAAATGTCTGTTATGGGCTTAACCTTTACAGGAAAGTCAAGAGACCACAGTGGCTTGTGTTTTCCCTGAAAGTCAGTGAACATAGATGTTGCCCACCCCTGCCAGAGTCCCCACATAGGTTCCCATCCCACAGAGAAGCCTACTCCAGAAATAACCCATTTTAAAGAAGAATCTTAAATTTCACAAACTCCATGTGAAACTAAAATTACCCTCTAAAAGCATGGTCCATTAGCAAAAGCGAAAGTGGACTTTATAAACATTTTTAAGACTTAGGAAGACACTTAGAACAAGAAGCCACACACTGCGACAAAATATTTACAAGTCCTCTCTATATCCTGCTGTAAAGAACTCTGTATCTTGCTATAAAGAACTCTAAGCTGGGCGCAGTGGCTTAACCCCTGCAATTCCAGCACTTTGGAAGGCGGGTGGATCACCTGAGGTCAAGAGTTCCAAGACCACCCTGCCCAACATAGTGAAACCCTGTCTACTAAAAATGCAAAAATTAGCTCGGCGTGGTGGTGGGCACCTGTTAACAATCCCTGCTACTCAGGAGGCTGAGTCAGGAGAATTGTTTGAATGCAGGAGGCGGAGGTTGCAGTGAGCTGAGATTTACCATTCCAGCCCGGGCATTAAGTGAAACTCCATCTCGAACAATAAAAACCTTAAAGGGTGTGGTAGCTCACGCCTGTAGTCCCAATCATTCGAGTCCAGACGGGGGAACACAGGGAGACCCTAAGTTAAGAATTTTTTTTTTTTTTTTTTTTTTTTTTTTGGAGACAGGGCTGGTAGTCCCCGAAGTGCTGGAACTAGAGGCAAGAGCTGTCGTGTCCTGCCAAAAAACTTTTTTTTTAGTTAGCCAGGCATAGTGGCGTATGCCTGTGGTCCCAGCTATGAGGAGGCTGAGGCGGGAAAATCCCTTGAGCCCAGGAATTCAAGACCAATCTGGGCAACACAGATCCCGTCTCTACTAAAAATACAAAATTAGCCGGGCGTGGTGCTGTGCGCCTGTAATCCCGGCTACTCGGGAGGCTGAGGCAGGAAAATCACTTGAACGTGTCATTGAACTCCAGACCGGGCGACAGAACGAGACGCCGTCTCAAAAAAAAAACAAAAAGTTCTGTTGGATACGCTGTTACAGACAGAGGTTTTCTCTGTGTGTTACCTTAAAAGTCTTGGTGCTGTTTTATTTTTATTTTTGAGACTCTGCTGCCCAAACTGTAGTGCAGTGTTGTAATCACATCTCACTACAGCCTCAACCTCCCTGGCTCAAGTAATCCTCCCGACTCGAGCTCCCAAAGTGTTGGGATTATAGGCGCAGCCACCGCACCCGGCGAGTAACTTTCATCACACTTCCGAAAGCTTGTGAGCAGCTCCTGCCCCTGACAAAGATGGCGACACCCCCACACAGGCTCCTAGCACCCTTCGGCCGTCCACCCTTCAGAAAGATGGCCGCTCCCTCATCCGATTTGAAGGCCTACAGACCCAGCCGCGCGATATCCAAATCCTACGAGAGCCTACGCCGCGCAGAAACATGACGTACTCCGTACGACTCTCGCGATATCACGGGCGGACAGAAGGCTGGTCCCGATATTCCCGCCTGAATAATCGCGCCCAGCGCCCTGATGGCCTAAGACCTCGCGAGACCGTGTTCACCACTTCCCGCCCGTCAGTCCTTCTCGATCCGGATCCCGGAATTAAGTGCAGCCTGCCAGAGTCGCGCTCGAGGTCCCGCCCAAGGCCGTGCACGTTGCTCCTTACGTCACTTCCTCTCCAGCCCCTGCGTAGTCGATAAGGACACCCGTACGGCGCCGCTGCTTTCCTTTCTGCAGGCTGTCGGGAAGATGGCGGACATTCAGGTGCGGGCTTGGGGCTGAATCCCAGAGTGCGGGGTCCGCCCCGGCTTTCAGGGGCGCGTCCGGGAGGGCAGGTCCCGGCATCTACGTTCGGGAGTTGATTCTGAGAGTCCGTGTTTGTTTCCTAGGGATTAACTGGGGCGGAGGGCGCGTGCTTTTGCGTGTGTTTAGATGAATGCTTCCTTCCTAAATCCTGGGGGCTCCGCGCCTTAATGGAGGCTCAAGCGTTTTCTAGTTACCTTCTTAAAATCCAAATTTAAGAAGGCTTTTTCTTTAGTTCTCTGGTTTTCAGAGTTAATTCTGTGGGAATGGACTGCTAAGGGCGAGTCCAGGGAGCCTGCCGTTTTGATATATCCTTATGTACTACATAAGGAGTGAATCCTGGGTGGGCCACCTTGGGTCTTCGAGAATAATCCTCGCTGAAAGGTGTCCAGGGTGTGAAGGGGTGATCCTGGTTTAGAGTATGAATTCTGCAGGCCCTGGGAGGCCTTCTGGAGCAAATAGAAATAACTCCGGGCTTAGATCTGAGTATGAATTACAGGTAAAGTTGCGGCAGTCGTGTCTTAGAGGGTGATTCTGGGGTACCAGACCTTGGAGGCCGGCGCTGTGCTGTAAGCGTGAGGTCTGGGAGGTTCTGGGAAGGTCTCTAGGCCATGTTGCTGCCCGCTTCAAACTTACCAGCTCATCACTCCTCATACCTGTAGACCGAGCGTGCCTACCAAAAGCAGCCGACCATCTTTCAAAACAAGAAGAGGGTCCTGCTGGGAGAAACTGGCAAGGAGAAGCTCCCGCGGTACTACAAGAACATCGGTCTGGGCTTCAAGACGCCCAAGGAGGTGCGGGGAACCTCAGAAAAAGAAGGGGACCCTGGCGTTCCTGCACGTGTGCTCCCTAGTCGAGTTGCCCTGCCCACATCTGAGTGGCTGCTCCCAGGGCTGATGGGAATTGTAGTTCACTTCCCTGAGGCCACGCCTCCGGTTCTTTTCAGGAACCACCCGCCCAAGGCTTACTACTTTGTTTTCCCTATCCCTTCAGGCTATTGAGGGCACCTACATTGACAAGAAATGTCCCTTCACTGGTAACGTCTCCATTCGAGGGCGGATCCTCTCTGGTAAGTGCGTGAATTTGTTTGGTGTCAAGGGCCTGAATACTGGAAGAAGGGGCTTGGGGCCCAGACTCCTGGGTCCTGGGTGAGGGAGGTGGTTGGGAATGCAAACCTGTGGGTGCAGGGGCATTGGCAGATGATGTCTGCTTTCACGATGGTCTTCAGATACCCATACGGGCACTGCTGAGAAAGCCATTTGGTAAAAGGCTGGAAACGGGGACTTCTTGGAATCCCTGCTCGGTGGCTCTGGTTCCCAGCATGCCTCAGGTTACCCATGGCCCTCTTTTCACATGGGACCTGACCTATGATCTGCGCCTGCTCCTAGGCGTAGTGACAAAGATGAAGATGCAGAGGACCATTGTCATCCGCCGAGACTACCTGCACTACATCCGCAAGTACAACCGCTTCGAGAAGCGCCACAAGAACATGTCCGTACACCTGTCCCCCTGCTTCAGGTGAGCACAGGGGCCCATCAGCTTGCTCAGGCCATTCTCCCAGCCTTCAGATTCCAGGCCAGTCCAATTTAAGGCCAACCGAGGGAGGCAGTGACTGAGGTGGCATCTCTGGGAAGCCGCAGAATCTCAGGATTTGTATATCACTTGCTCTTCAGAATTTAAGTGTTCCACAGGTTGAATATCTCTACCTGAAATGCTTGGGAGGCCGAGGTGGGTGGATCATGAGGTCAGGAGTTCAACACCAGCTTGCTCAACATAGTAAAACCCCGTCTCTGCTAAAAAATACAAAAAAATTAGCCAGGCGTGGTGGTGGGCACCTGTAATACCAGCTACTCAGGAGGCTGAGGCAGGAGAATCACTGGAACCTGGGAGGCGGAGGTTGCAGTGAGCTGCCATCATGCCATTGCACTCCAGCCTGGGCGACAGAGCAAGTCTCCATCTCAAGAAAAAAAATGCCTGGGGCTAGATTTTGGCATGTTCCCATATACATAATGAGATGTTTTGGGGACGGGACATAGGTCTAAACACGAAGTTCATTTGTTTCATGTACACCTCATTTACATAGACTGAAAGTAATCTTGTGCAGTACATTTTATAATTCTGCATGTGAAACAAACTTAGCATACATTGAACCATCAGAAAGCAAAGGGTTCATGCTGGTACTCAAAGTTCTGATTTTAGCCAGGCACCGTGGTTCAAGCCAGTAATCCCAGCACTGTAGGAGCACGAGGCAGGAGGATCCCTTGAGCCCAGGAGTTGGAGACTAGCCTGGGCAACATGGCGAAACCCTCCCTCTACAAAAAATATAGAAGTAACTGGGTGCTGTGGCATGGGCCTGTAGTCTCAGGCCCTCGGGAGGCTGGGGTGTGAGGATTGCTTAAGCCCACAGGGTGGAGGCTGCAGTGAGCCGAGATGGCCCCACTGGTCTCCAGCCCATGTGACAGAGTAAGATCCTGTCTCTCCCACACACAAAAACAAAACTTCAGATTTTACAGTATTAACGAATTTTTGGATTAGGGATGTTGAACCTGTAATAGGTAGGTGTCTCGGAACCAAAAGGTTAGGGTGTTATACCAGATGGGAACCTCAGAAGCGTTGGAATTCCACGTTTGTTCATCGCATCAGCGTGTTTTATTTAGAGCTTATGTGCCAGGTTTGGTGTTGGATGCCGGCGGCTCAGTGGTGAGCCAGGGCACAGTCCTGTTCCCTCAGAGGGCACCTTCCAGCAGGTGGGTGGCAGGTGTCAGTCAAGTACAAAGGATGGGGACGTGGCGCAGCTGATAATGGTGGCCTTTGGGCGGGGAGGATCTTGGGAACAAGGTAGGGAGTCCTGTGGGCAGGGAGGAAAGTGGCCTGAACTGATTCTGAGTGATAAGGGACCTGAAGTTGTCCCTTAGCACTGTTGCTACAGGATTCCCCTGCTGCTCTGCTGGGGTGGGGTGGTGAGGAGGCCGCTGACAACCTGGGGCTAGTCTAGTTCGGCTGTGAAAGAGAGCTCGTCCGCCACGGTGGCCCTGCTCTGTCTACGGCGTTGAGCTTCGTGCTTGGCACAAAGTTGGTACTAAAGAAATAACGGGAGCAGTTTGAATTGCTGAGTGGAGCTCGGTTGGGGTTTGGTGGAGCCAAAGCAGGGCCTTCAGCCTGGCGAGGTGAAGGGAAAGCCTCCCAGGGCTTACGGGGTAGCCGCTCCTGAGGACATGGCCCCACCTGCCTCCACAGGGACGTCCAGATCGGTGACATCGTGACAGTGGGTGAGTGCCGGCCCCTGAGCAAGACTGTGCGCTTCAACGTGCTCAAGGTCACCAAGGCCGCTGGCACCAAGAAGCAGTTCCAGAAGTTCTGAGGCTGGATGTCGGCCCACTCCCCACAATCAAATAAAGTTATTTTCTCATTCCCAGCCAGACTTGGGATCTCTGCGCCTTTATCAGAGCATGGTGGGTGGGGGTGTCCCTGTGGGAATTGCGTAAGGCTGCTGTGGGTGAGGACAGGGGAGGATGAGCTAAGATGCCTGCCTTCCGCTGGGTCTCCTTTTTTGGTCCTTGTCACCTTTTTGGTGTCTGAATATGTCTGATACCCTGGTGGTGCGCTGTTCCCCACACCTGTCCCCTGGGGAGGAAGTCAGGGGAGGCGGAGGCCGCTGGGTTCTCCAGGCCCTTGTCTGCTCTTTTCCTGACCTTGTCAGGTGGGGAGGGGAGGGAGCTGCAGCCCCCCTGCCATGGGGGTGCTGGATGCCCTGCTGTCTGGCTGTGAACTGTGAAGGTCTTAACTTGAGCCTGGGCCTCCGATCCCTGTTTCTAGCCAAGGAGGGAGACACCGTGCACCCACCACCCACTCCTAGGTGGGCACCATGCCCGTCTGCAGATGAGGAAATTCACCTGGGAGAGGCCAAGCCCTCCTCCTGGAGTTCCAGTAGATAGCTGAGTTCCAGCCCTCAGGTTCTAGAAACTTCCTTTGCCCCAGCTGCCTCAAAATCGAAGTAAGGAAATTAGTGGTGTTGGAAGTGGCCTGGTGAGGCTGTCCTGGAGCCCGGCTCAGCAGGACTGGGGCCAGGCTGCTGGGAAGGAAGTGGGCAGGAAGCTCCCGGAGATGGCCCAACACACAGGCTGCTGAGATGGGGGCCTTGAGAGGGCCAGGCCAGGCCCAGGGTCATGGCATGGGGAGCAGGGGTTCTGGAATGTCACCTGCAAAGCTGGGGAGAGCACAGAGACCACTGTGAGAGGGAGGCACAACAGACAGGTGCACCGAGCATCACAAGTGGGGAGACAGGCATGGGGTGGGGGGCAGCGAGGCAGGGGAGCACCAGAGGATTTGTGGCACCCGAAGGGAAAAGACCTGCCTTCAAGCCACAGCAGAGATGGGGGCACAGGGAAGGGCGGTCTGAACGCCCACTGACCTCACCGTCGGGGTCTGCCGGTGCCGGGGTCCCCAGGTCCCTGCCCCCCAGGCCTGTACCAGGGTCTGAGCCCAGCACTGGTACAAGGGTTGGGAGACAGGGCTATGGGGAAAGGAGCCGCTGCTGCCGCCGCCGTCGCCACAACCTCCGGGATGCTGCCTCCCTGTGGGCCCAGTCCCTGCCTTTTACCCAGGTCGGTGGCGGAGGGGGAGGAGGGCGAGGGTTCCTGCCAGAGGAAGTGGGCAGGAAGGGGCAGGGACGGGTTGGGGGGGGACCGCCCTGATTCACAGAAACTGCACACCCACCCCACCCTATGCTGGGGCAGTAGAGATCCAGCAAGGGGCAAAGAGGGAGCGTGGACCCCAGAGGGAGGGGACGGAGACCCAGAGTGGGGTGGGAGGTGGCGGCCCCTCCCCTTGGCCACAGGTGTTTCCGTTCGGGGTGGGGCTGCTGTGTTTACAACAACAGCCTGGCTCTCCGGCTTCCTCCAGATTATTGGGGCGTCTCCTTGGTACCCCATCACATCAGGGTGTGTGCTGAGGAAGGAACTCTGCTGGACTTGGTGGCTCGAAAAGACCAAGGAGAAAGCCCCCCTGGGACCCCTCAACAGGCCTTGCACCTGAAGAATGGGGATAAGGACCATAGGTTTTTTTTTTTTGGTTGTTTTTGCTTTGAGACAGTCTCTCTCACCCAGGCTGGAGTGCCCTGGTGTGATCTTGGCTCACTGCACCTCCGCCTCCTAGGTTAAAGCGATTTTCTGCCACAGTCTCCTGAGTAGCTGGGATTACAGGTGCATGCCACCACACCTGGCTGATTTTGGCGTTTTTAGTAGAGACGGGGTTTCACCATGTTGGCCAGGCTGGTCTCAAACTCCTGACTTCATGATCCACCCATCTTGGTCTCTCAAAAGTGCTGGGAATCCATACAGGTGACAGCTACCGCGCCTGCCCCATAAGGTTCTTTGATAACCAAAGGAGATACAGTTCCTGGGTCAGCAGGTCCCCTGGTGTCCCCTCCCACCTGCTCTCCCTCTCACTCAGCCCCACACTGCCAGTGCCTACCTTATGCTGAGCCTCTTCACCGTCTGTTCCCTGTGGAATTCTCTGACCCTGAGTTTCCACCTGGCTCCCTCCCTCACTGCCTTTGTCTTCTATTAAGTGAATGAATTGATTTTTTTTAATTTGTTAATTATTTATCAAGAGAAACTATTTCTTAGCCTACATACATATTCATGTATTCAGAAACACAAGTCATTGACAACCGGCTAGGTAATTTGACATGAAGAAATTCTTTAAATTCCAAGATCACGCGGGGCGCGGTGGCTCAAGCTTGTAATCCCAGCACTTTGGGAGGCCGAGGCGGGTGGATCACAAGGTCAAGGGATCGAGACCATCCTGGTCAACATGGTGAAACCCCGTCTCTACTAAAAATACAAAAAATTAGCTGGGCATGGTGGCGTGTGCCTGTAATCCCAGCTACTCAGGAGGCTGAGGCAGGAGAATTGCCTGAACCCAGGAGGCGGAGGTTGCGGTGAGCCGAGATCGCGCCATTGCACTCCAGCCTGGGTAACAAGAGCGAAAACTCCGTCTCAAAAAAAAAAAAAAAAAAAAAACTTCCAAGATCACTTTGCAGTCTGAAAGATAACCAGCCTTCCAGCTGGTGTGGTGGCTCACACCTATAATCCCAGCACTTTAGGAGGCCAAGGCAGGTGGATCACAAGGTCAGGAGTTTAAGACCAGCCTGGCCAAGATGGTGAAACCCTGTCTCTACTAAAAATACAAAAATTAGCCAGACACAGTGGCATGCACCTGTAATCCCAGCTACTTAGGAGGCTGAGGCGGGACAATTGTTTGAACCTGGGCAGCA